GAACACTTTGAGAGGGGGGGGAGAATTTTTTAAATATTTTACGTGTACAATTGTATTGATTTTTGTAAATATACATGTTCATACACATAAAAAAGCGGTTAAGTATAGTAAATTTAAAATTTATTGCTAATTTTCTAACATTTCATCAACAAGCATGTTCTTAAAGCTATGAAACCAAAGTAACTAAAATTCAGCAAAATTGCTTAGAATATTTAAAATGCCTAAGATTACTGGGTAGTTAAAAAATAAAGGCATTCAAGTTGTATTCATCAAGTAATTTTTAATTATAAGCCCCCTTAATTTATCAAGCATCAGGCTGTCAATAAATGTGAACATGTTAAAAAAAAAAAAAAAAAAAAAAAAAAAAAAAAAAAAAACTATTTTCTTTATTGGTAATAAATCTATTAGCTTTTTTATTTTAAAAAAAATTAAAAACAAGCTTGTGTTATTTTGTGAGTTTTTTAATGTAAATCTTGATAAGCACTCCATTTTTGGAATGGTAAATATAATGAAATAATTTGCTGAACAACAACAACAACAATAAAAAAAAATTGGCTTATTTTTTTTTTTGAGTTGCTAGGCAGCCACTCACTTTGCACAAAAGAGGCATTTCTCTTTGAAGGCATCCACAATTCTGATAGACAACTCCAGTGCAACTGAATTCTAACAATGTTTGAAAATTTATATTCATTTGTTTCTGTAACAAAAAAAAAAAAAAAAAAAAACTTTATAAAGGAAAAGAAAAAACCTGAAATGCAGATATCAATGATTGAAGCAGTGTTTCATACAATTCCAACAATTCTTCATAGTCAGGGTTCAATTTTACAATGTATTACTTACTCACTGTGATGACCAGGATCTGATAACTAATCAATATTTTTGATTCTGACAAGTGTCACAGGCTAATGAAGTCCTGAAGAATGCTAATCCAAAGAAATTATTAAAAAAAAAAAAAAAAAAGTTATGTTTATCTACTTTTTTTTTTTATGAGTGGGGTAGTCTGTTTAAGTAGTGCTCTTTAAAAAAGAGAAAATAAATACAATAAACTTTATGAAAATGAATAAATGCACTATGGTTAAAACTAAAGCTAATAAATTTAGTTTTTAAGATAAATAATGGAAAAAAATACTGAAATACTTGATGTGATTTTTTTTTTTTTTTTTTTTTAAGAACCTTCAAAATCATGGTCAGTGAGTGTTTTTTGAGGAGTGTAAAAAAAAAAAAAAACACAAGCAAACATTGATCTAGGAATTTTTGCAAAAAATAAAAAATTAAATAAAATCAGATCTTGATTTTTTTTAATGAAACTTTCAGGACTTTAGAAAAAAATTTTATATATATATATATATATATTTTTTTTTTTTTTTTTAAATTGCCCTCCTAATGTTATGAAATTGAGAAATTCTTTTGTAAGGTTTCGTTTAATAAATTAATATTTATAGTTAAGTAAGAAGAGAAGTCCTACCTAAGAGAATTTCAATCATTTTTTTTAGGGGGGGCGGTCAAACAATAGAACCGTTAACAAAAATATAATAATATGAACTAAATGTTGCAAAAAGTTTATTTTTCTGAAAGTGTTAAAAAAGGTCAATAGTACCATGACTAATCTGCTTATTCTTGCGAACGTAAAGCTTTGGCCCCAAAACATTAATGTGGTGACGTTACATACAATGACATCCCATTTACTTTCACATGAAGATATAAAAAATAAGTTAGAATAAAATAAATATACCCCAGCATGACTACAGTAACGAAATTTAAACATTTTCATTGACAATTAATGAAAGTTTGTTTAATCAATCTAATTTGAAACACGCTTAATACAAAAAAGTGCCTCATTGTGACGTCACGAACTTTCCAAGGTTCGTAACTTTTTAAAAATGTGATTGTAGTTTTAAATGTTTTTAAAGATCAATGAAAGTTTAATTTTTAAGGTTACATAAACTCAAAAAACTGTCTTCATTTGCCAAATTTCATTAATTCCTGTGTGACTAGTTTAAAATACGTTTACGGTTTAACAGTTAATTCATTTTTTCAAAAAAATCATCACAATATGAAATAAAGAAAAATACAAGTTACTGTTAGTTGATGTTGAGAGTTCCAGATAAGATTACAACAGGTGGGCGAGCAAGATATAGAATCCTAATGCAAGAAAAATAGAATTAAATGGAATTGAATACAAACTTACAATTTGTTTTACACAGAAAATTTAAGTGAATTTTGTTAAGACATCAAAACTGGAAAATTTTGAAAAATAGAAAAATACACCACTAATGGATTACCTCCTTACCCTGGGAAAACGGGGGAAGTTTTGGAATTCCTTACTAAACATAATATGAATTTAACCAATAAGAAGCCAGGTATAATAATAAAGTCTTTAACAAGTTGGCCTTAGTCTCAACTTTTTGTTTTTAATTGTCCAGACTAACAATCTCTAAACGCTTGTAAAATCTGAAAGTAAAAGGAGGGAATTTATTAGTCAAGTGGCAAGTCTGTGAAATACCTGGTCAAATTTAGAACGACTAAAAATAGTACGAAGCCCTCTCACCACAACCCCCTAAGCGAGAAACGAAGTTTCCAAGTACAAAAAAAATAAATAAAAATTTTTATTTTTTTACTAGGAGGTAAAGACTTAAAAAAAATTATGTGAATTAAAAATTAAAATTTAACTTAATCTGAATACACCTGTGAAGAAATGAGAAAATGAAACAAGTTTATTCCGTTACTGGAAAGAGTTTTAGGTAAATTTTTGTTTTTACTTTTGTGGGCTAACTGCATGAGATCCTGAGAGAATTCGGAGAGAAATACAAGAAGATCAACTAAGACGAAAACGGAAGAAACATTTTTTCTACTTGACGGAGTTTCGTTAACTCAGTGAAGTGAAGTGTGTATGATCAGTGGGAGGGGGTTCAAGAAATCTAAACAACTTATAAGTTCTCAAAATTACTAAACGAAAAATATACGATTTTCCTTCCATAAAGTTACGCCATGTGCCAAGTGTGCACTACACAAAAAGGATTGAAACAACCAAGATTCTAAAAATAAGCACGTTTGATGTTTTGTTTACGGCATGGAACAAAACAAAACGGAATAGGATTTTTTTTAGTCAACCAACACTTGAGGGGGTTACATGTACCCTATACACAATTTGTTAATTACTAGTTAACTGGAAATCCTAGTTATTTCCATGAAATTTGTCCAACTCGAACTGAGAAAAATAGGACAATAAAAAAAACCCAAAAACTGCACAGTGAAAGTCATGAAATTTAAGGAAAAAAAAAAAAAAAACACTGAAAGAAAAAACAAAAAGCTGAGTCGAAAGGAAATAATTATTACAAAAAATAGTAAATAAATATCAGGTCAATATGGCGTCAAGGGAGTTTCCCCTAAATTCCTGAGCAGCTATTCCGAAAGTAAAGAATGAATTACGGGAAAAAAAATCGGGAAGATATCTGACAAGTCACAATACCTACTGTCAAATATTTCATTGTGGGTGGCCGAAAACATGTGACCTGATTAGAGTGGATTCCGACACGAAGAAGAAAAAAAAAAAGAAAAAAAAAGAAGTCCTTTGGGAAATATTTTTCTCCAGTTGAAGAGAATTTTCTCTACTTTTCTGGCAAAATGTTAATTAATCAGAAATAATGAAAAATAAGAGCTGCATTCAACTCTTTTTTCGCTATTTTTTTTTTTTAATGTTTGCCATCACTCATCATAAAGGGTAAGAAGTAGTTTAAGAAAACGGCAAGTATAGGGGAGGGGCATTGAAAATAAACTTTCAGAGAAATGGGTGACAACTTGAGAATTAGTGGATAAAAATAAATAAAAGGGCTTAAATTTGAGTTCAATTTCAAAGTAAACCTAATAAGTCCTACATGTATTTTAGCATCATTAAAAAAGTAATTTCACGTAAGTTTAAATTTTTTTTGTTTGTTTTCATACAAGTAAAATATGATTTATGGTAGACTTTAGTTTAAAGTATACAGTACGTTTTTTATTGTGAAAACAATTGTTTTACCAAAATGCCATTTTCTTTGTCGTTAGTTTAACATTCCAGAAAAAAAAAAAAGCTCTGCGAAATTCTTTAAAATTTAAAGATGAAAAACTACTTTTTGGACCTAAGTGATGAATTTGCTTTATTTTTAAGTGAAGCTGAAAGTAAGAAACCTGCTATTCATCGGGTCAAAGTAAAAGTTTGTCATCTGTGATGTACAAAAACTTTAGGAAGTTCATTTTTTTTTTTAATTTTTTATTAGCAACTAAAGTTTAATTTCGATTAAATTATGAAAAATAGAAAAAAAAAAAAAGACACCTGTAGGTCAGTCGGTTAAAAAAACAAAAAAAAAACTTTCAAAACTTTTTACAGATACCTAAACAAACAAGAAAAAAAAAAAAAATGGATTTAAAGTAATTTTTATATCGTTGTGTAGACTTTATTTCATAAAATAAATTTCCATGTTTTTTTTCAACTTACAGAAAAGTTTTAAACACTTTTAATCAATTATCATTTTGAAGTTTAATGATTTTTTTTTTAACTAACGAAAAAGTGGACTAGGTTAAGATTACTTAAGAGTTGGAGGATATAAAAGAGTCATGTACCCGACCCAAGAGGTTCACCTTGGATGAGGATAAGAAAAGCAGAGGCCCGCCCATCATTTATAGCTCATATTTAAAAAATAAGCCAAATACCTACATGTACACGTTTCTATACGTACATCTGTACCCATATACTGCAAGTATAGAAGTTCACCTTGACAGTAAATAATAAGAATAACTAAGCAAAAGAGCCACTTTTTTTAAAACTATTTCCCTCAACCCTTGAAGTACGGCTCCACTCACCGGCCATTTTGAAACACCGTCTGTCCATGCCGGCGCTTACCTAAGCAACAAAAATCTTTCGGGCGTTTTTTTTTTTTTTTTCTTTGGGGCAAAATAGTTGATTACAGACACTCAGTCATTATAAAATTCAAGGAGAATTTGCCATTAATGATTCGTCTTACCGTTGAATTTAGCAATTGCTTTGTCCACGTTAATCTGGTCGGGACAGTCGACAAAAGCGTAGTTGGTCTTGAGCAAGACGTGACTGGTGTCTATACCGTGATCCTGGAACAAACTATACAGACTTCCATCGGTGATGTCAGGCGGCAAATTGCCTACATACAGTTTAAACATATCCCAGCTGCAGCCAGCAAAGAGAAAACTTCAAAGTTTGATACACTCGGAAAGAAAGAAAAAGCCAACAAAACACACCTTTGCAGTAACTAAAGCACTGATACTATATTAAAATAAATAAAAAAAAAAATTCTGACAACAGAAAAAAAAAGTCGTATGTAGAAAGCGCAGTGATACGTTTGTTTGTTGGCCTTAGCAAAGTACGAGGGGTGGACAGCGTGTTTCGGCATCTTATAAAAAAAATGTATTTCGAATTTATAACAAAACTACATTTTTTAGATAATTTATTAAAAAATTACAACGTTGTGTCGTGCAGATATTCTGGCCCCAATAAAATTATAACCTGTCATACGCAAAAGACAAGCATCTGTTGCGTGCTTTCACCCCCTTTTTCAGGCCGAATGAAATGCACTCGTCTCTCACGTTCCATCACTCCCTCTTACCACGTGGTTAGCTATGGCGGCCGCTTGTCGCAACTGAATACCGTTTTGTTTATCTCATTTGAAAACTCCATCACCAGCTTTCCTAAAGTTAAAGACCAACGCGTACTAACAGAACATTGATTGAAATAATAGACCGACTTCATTAAATATCACTTGAACAACACGTCAATGTTTTACAACTTCTTTCCAGTTACCGGTTTTCCCACATGTCCACGTGGACTCTGTGAAGGGGAGGTGAACGCATGTGATGCACTGAAAGGGGGAGCTTTGCGCAAAAATAGAAATGGATTAAACTTTATTTCCTTTTTTTCTTTTTGCATCATAAAAGCTTTGAGCTTACCCCGCTGCTGTCATAAAAAAAATTAAAATAATAAATTTAAATGTTCAAATTTCCGTTGTCATGAAGAAAACAAAAAAAAAGTTTTAGAAAAAGAATTGAAAGTAAATCTTGCTTGGAAGATTTGTGAATATTTTTTAAATTAAATGATAAAAATGAATTATAAAATAAGAATTGTAAAAAAAAAAACAATTTTCAAAAATAGTTTCAAACAAAATTTAGTTGCCAACTTTCCAGAAACTCGTTATAGAAAAAAAAAAGTTTCAGCTGACGAAGAAAAATAATTTCTGTTTTATTATAAAACAGAAATTATTTATAAAACTTTTTATAGTTGGAAAATTTTATTTATTTTACGATGAATTATGGGTGAAAAAATTCATGTAATTATTTTCTCAAAAAGGGAATCGTTTAACGAAATGGTAACTAACCTAAGAAAGCAGGACCAATCGCTTGACGTCATCGAAAAAAGGGAAATGGGTTGCAAAAAGAAAAGAGTGAATAAAAAAAAAAGTCATGAAAACGCATAAATATTTATTTATTAGATATTTTTTCTGCTCAAAAACAAAAAATAATACTGAGATGTTTGAATCTCATTTATTATTTATTATAAGTCAATAATCATAAATTTTTTATTAAAATAATGAACAAGAAAGCAACAAAAAATTAAACCCAGAAAGTTGTTCAATGATTTATAATTCTTGTCTTGAATTGGGGTAAAAAAATGATATCTACATAACGTTCTTCACACAATCGAATAAATTACATTTTTTTTTGTTTTATTTTGCTCTTTCTTAAGTTAAACATTTTAATAATTTTGCTACCTAATAAAATACACAAATAAATTTGTTAAAAAAAAAAAAAACCTACTTCGACAAAAACATTTTTTGGTTCTTCTTACTCCTAAAACAGAAAACTCGAACTCACAACTGGTATGAATTGCAAAAATGATGGTTTAACACTGAAAATTACGAAGAAAAATCTTTTCTAATTTTTGACATTATTAAATTATTGAATTTGGATTAAAAAAAAACAATACAGTTGAGTAGACTGGAGACATTATTGTACCAATCAGTAAGATTCAAAATTTTAATTTAAAATTTTTAGTCTTTGCCGCGTGAATGAAGAAGAATTTTTCTTAAATTTTGAAAATTGTTAACTATAACATTATTTAAAATAATTGGCTGAGATTTATATTTGTGTAGTATTATTAATTTTTTTTATTAAAAATAAAATAAATAATACAAAGAAATGTTTTTCAGTTCAAGGGAAAAAACTGATGCTTTTTTTAGCTAAAAGAAATGGGATGAAAGCAACCAGTAGCAACGATAATCTTTTTGACAAGAAATGAAAGGGAAGTAATTTAAAGTAATAAATTTAGTGAACATCAACATCTTGTAAATTAAGAAAATTTGATTTACGAATCAGCAAAAAAATTTGACGAGATGAATTAAATAGTTTTTATTTTATGTATTTTTTTAATATTAAAAATATCGGTCAAATTTTGCAATCGGGTGACTGGGAAAAATCACGAAGCTAAAAAGGTACGGCTCGTTAGGATGAAAAAGTAAAGAACACTAATTAAAGGAAAGCTAAAAAAAGCATATTAAATACTAAATTTGTCTTTCTTTTGGGTAGAGACATTTCGCAGAAAAAATAATGTTTTCATTTAAAACAGGTAATGTTTTAATAAAATAATTAATAACTTACGAAAGGGTACTGAAAAGTTCTTAGATCGACACCCTGACCAAATAATTTTTTTAAATCATCCCATTTTGGTCAAGCCGAGAACTTTTCAGCAAATGAAGTCATTTAATTTATTTATAAATAATGTTAGAAATATTTTAATAAATTTCAGTTTATTAAATTACTACTTATTCCATTACTAAAAATTAAATCTATTACATTGAATAAATTAAATTTTAAAAATATTATTTTTATTTTATTTGAAATTTAAATGAAAATACAAGATTATTTGTGTGACTTTTGAATTTTTTTCCTTTTATGACGCTCCTTCTGTTATCTTTGTTAAATTTTTGTTATTTTTTCTTTGCAACTTTTTTCAAACTTAACAAACTGTACCTTATGTCTTACTCTTCTATCACTTTTTCTTATATTTTTTCGTACAACCGAAAAAAAAAAGACTCCAGCGTTATTTTTTTTTTTTTTAAATGCGAGTAGGACTTTGGATAGTAGGAGCAAAAAAACTAACAATAACATTTTTTTTTCATGTTTAAACTTGAATATCAAAAATTAAATTAAAATTTATATGTTACCTCTGTCCCATAGTAGTTCAGGTACTGAACAGGTCAAAAACCCAGTATTTTTTATCCCAAAAAAATTAAACAAAACCCCACGTCTCATAAATTATTAAAAACTGAAAGTATGTATAAAAAATGAAACCAATTTAAATTTAACATTGAAAATTGAAGGAACTTTTAAATTCAAATTTTAATTTCAGATTGAGACAATAGAAATAAATAGATCTTTCTTCGATTTTTGGTAAATTCGGGGCACGAACAAATGATAAAAGCTTTATTTGAGCCCTTAATTCGGCATCTCTCCGTATCTACGCACGTCTACCTTGTTTTTACGTTTTGTCGCAATCCTTAAAAAGCCCCCTTTTATGGTTTTCTTCAAATAAAGTCGGGTCTTGGTATATTAGGGCTCCTTAAACAGTGATGATCAAATACGAATAAGTGACTTTTAGTTTTGTAGCATTGTTAAAAAAGGTTTTTTAGAGTTTGAATTGATTCACTTTTTTTAGTTTTTACAATGAATTTCTATAGGAAACAGAGCGGGCCTATATAAACTTTAACTCTTGAAGTACGCGATAGGAATTGATCTTTCTTGTGTTAAAAACATAAGTTACTATATTTAACTTAAGTATTGTTTCAATTTAACATTAAAATTTGAATTAAAATTTCCTTGAATTTGCAGTGTTAAATTTGTTTCTTTTTTTTATGAGACTGCAATTTTATCCAATTTTTGGATAAATGAAATAAATGATAGCTTTTCCCAGGCGGCTGGATTTTTGTCATGGATTCGATGTTATGATGGAACAATTATTATTTCAATTCAATTCAATCGTTGTTAATGTTAATATTATAAAAATTAAAAACCTTTTAGTTTTTTTAATGAACATATTTAGATTTTTAAAATTTTAAATGAAATCGAATATATTTTTAAAAACACAACTAAAATTGTAAAAAAAAGTAATCATTTTATTTTAAATCTTTAAAAATTAATCATTTGAATCAAATTGAAGAGTCAAAATAAATAATTTCTGAATAGTGGGTAGCTCTGCTGACTAATTTAAACCAACCAAAACAAATAAAGTATATTTTTTTATTCTTTTCTAAGTGAAAGAAAACTGTACTAAATAAAAGGAGGACTGTATCGAACAGATCATTTCAATATGAGATACATGAAAAAGATTTACCCGCCTAAAATTACATTCCCTTTTTCTCTCACTTTCTCACGCACACACACAAAGACACATACACAAACACGCGCACGCTTTCTTAATTGTCAGTAGTGCAAACCACTACACTAGATAGATTTGTTTTATTTTTTCAGAAAATTTTGTATATAATTAATATTAAAAAATAATTAATCTCGTAAGAAAAGGTATTTTCATAGCAGCAGACAATGGGTGCGTTGTCCATTCACTTTAATGTCACTCTTCTAAATCAAAATTTTAAACTTGGGAAAGAAAAAATCTCTCCTATAATTTTGTCTTTCATAAATCCTGCACCCAGAATAAATTTAAGCTTGCGTTTATTTATCGAGCTTTGCTTGGTCTGGCACAAGGCCAAAATAACAAGACGCACATGAAAATAGAACACAAAACTTGATTAGAAAACATTTCACTAAGCTGTTTAACGTGTAATGAGTGATTCAAAAACCAGTTCATCCTCCACATTAAATTTAAATATAAAAGTTTTAAATTTTAAAAAAGTGTAAAATTATTTAAAAGGACGGTAATTCCTGTTAGTTCACTAGTTAGACTTTCATTCTCTTCCATAATTGTGACTTTGTACTAGACTAAGCTAAGATCATTTGTGGCACAAGTAAAAATATGAAAGAATCTGAAATAAAACTGATTTGAAAAGAGGTTGTGGAATCTTCCACAACAAGCCAGTTAACCCCTGCTAGGAAATGCACTATTCCTGTGTAATTTTCACCATCACCATCTTACAAATATATAACAAGCATTCATTGGTTAATCACCTTCAATCTAGCTCGCTGATTGGTCAGTTCCGACCAATCAAACCGCCTGCACGCGACAAATCTGTTTTCCCGCTCAATATGCTCGGAGCCTCCCACGTGATACACGACCATATAAAAACAAAACACGTGTAAACTCTCTCTCTCTCTCTCTCTCTCTCTCTCTCTCTCTCTCTCTCTCTCTCTCTCGCGTCTCATTCTCATCTGCCAAAATGTAATCTTCAAGAACTCCCGTCTTAACTAATGCTGTCAGACGTTAAAAGCCATTATCAACATTCACGCAAGTGTGGGGTTCAGCGCACCCGGATTAAAGGAGAATTTAATACGGGATACCCTGCCCACAAAATACAACGCAAATTTCAAGAAGAAACAACACGATAAGGAATGTTTATAAAAAATAGAACATTGTATATTTAATATCTTGTGAATAGGGTAAAAAAGATTACTGTTTTAGTTCGTTTAAGCAAAAATGTGATTTTGATAAAAATGTCTGTGTTCGCTGTCTTTTAACAGAGTAGCAGAATAATGTCTGTTTCTTTTGTTTTGTATAGTTGTAAAATGAAAAAGGGCGAGCAATTTAAGTTGAAAAAGACAATGTGAATGAGGAATAAAGATGAAAGGAAAATGTACTTATGAATTGTTTTGGAGTCAGTTGTAAATTTGTTGTTGTTGTTGTTGTT